TTAGTTGATGCTTGTCTTAATAGTTAATGTTGATGTTGCACGTATTCCATACACAAAAGGAGTTCAAATATAATTAAGAAAAATAGTTCTAATTCAAATAAGAAAAAATTTAATAAGAGAATTTGAGTTGATTTAAAGTCTTAAATTTTAGGGAAAAATTAAATAACTATTCTTAGTTATTAGTAAACTAATTAAATGACTATTCCCAAAATTTAGGAGAATAATTAAATAACTATTTTAAATAATTTTTGTAACATATTATAATTATGCTACATAGTTCAAATAATAAAAAAATTGTATAAGGTAAAATCTTTATTGTTTTTATACTCCTAAATTTTAGGATTTTGATATAGTTGAAATAAGGTTTGAAATTTATAATAATACTTTTAATTTTTTTAAGTCCAACATATATATTAGAAAAATAATTAAATAACTATTCCTAAATATTAAAAAAATAATAGTTAATTATAAATGTTAGCGAAATAGTTAGATTACTATTTTATCCTATGCGAAAACTCTATGTTTAAAGGATAAAAATACGAACGCATTTGGCCTTTTAGTATATATATATGGAGCCTATAAAATAAGGGGGTTGTGTGGGTTGGTTTAAGTCATCAAAGTGTGCATGCTGTCCTGAAATCTCTCCCTTTCGCCAGCAAAGCATTCATCAATTTACAACCCAACATTTTTTAATATATTGTTTCTTTTTACTGTTTTTATTATCAACATTTTCTTGTTTTAGATAGAGAAAATTCCCATAGTTCTAAGCTATAGGAGTTTTTGACGGAGAGAACCAAGTCCGTCGCCGTTTGCCGTCGCAGACAATGGTGGATATGGGTCTTTCCGGATCTGTACTTGCGGTGGTGTTTGGCTTCGTGGCAGTTTTGTGGTTTTTCATTCAGAGAAACGGTGGCCGCAAAGATAAAAATAATGACCCCGCCACCGCCACCACCAGCACCACTACTACAACGGTGTATGATGGAGAATGCAGATCAAAGGATGCAAATGACGACGCTGACATCATCATCGTCGGTGCTGGCGTTGCCGGTGCCGCTCTTGCTCACACCCTTGGCAAAGTTTGTTTCTCTCTTCCTCATCCTTTATCAATTTATATGTACATCTTTTGAAAAAAAGAAGCTAAATTGAGATTGAGGAGTAATTAGATTGATTGATTTATGTATCTGAAGATGAAGAGCATAGTTGATGTGTTATTTCGAAAGACATGAACTTGATTGGTTAATTTGAAGATATCAGAGAAATAAATATTACTTGATAATGGAAGCATTTGGTCTGAAGGAATGAAAACAATATTTTTTACCCTACAAGTTTTTTCTGATATGTATGAGAAGAAATGGATGGTTATAATATAGAACCAAGTTTTACTAGCTGGTGGTGACTGCAAATAGTAACTTATTTTCTATTAAAACTTGCTGTAAATCATAGGCTAAGTATGAAAGGAAAGAGGTAAAAAATGGATCTTTTTGAGAGACTTATGGTTATGCATTTTGGACTACAGGACGGACGTCGTGTAAAAGTGATTGAAAGAGATTTGACAGAGCCTGATCGAATTGTTGGAGAACTCCTACAACCAGGTGGCTTCCTCAAGTTGCAGGAGTTGGGTTTGGAAGGTAAAGTTTCCAAATAATGTAAATTGTTGTCAATTCTGGTCACTTATTCTCTTGAGGTGAAAAAAGGAAAAGATGTCTTAGATTTTTAGCTTCTTGTCTCCTTTTCTGTTGCATTTTCTCATATTTTTCACCTTGGCCTGCTGCAGATTGTGTGGAGAATATTGATGCTCAGCGAGTGTTCGGGTATGCTCTTTTCAAGGATGGCAAGAGCACTCGTTTGTCTTATCCCCTGGAGAAATTTCACGCTGATGTTTCTGGAAGGAGCTTTCACAATGGGCGTTTCATTCAAAGAATGCGAGAGAAAGCTGCATCTCTTCCCAAGTATGTTCCGTTTTACCATTTTTCTTATCGATATACCTCCTTTCTTATATTTAATGATTTCTCTTGCTTGGATTATTCTCATTATGTTATGTAAACTTTTACATCTTCAAACAATTTCCTGCTGAATATATATGGAGGATTCAAATGGACGGCCTTAATAATTTGGGATGAAGGCATGGTTGATTGATTGAAACAGTAGTATCTCTGCTTTTATTGATTAAATGCTGCATGTTGGCTTTAATATTTTAACAGTGTCAAACTGGAGCAAGGCACTGTTACGTCTCTGCTTGAAGAAAACGGGACCATTAGAGGTGTTCAGTACAAAAACAAATCTGGCGAAGAGTTGAAAGCCTATGCACCACTGACCATAGTATGTGATGGTTGTTTCTCGAATCTACGGCGTACCCTTTGCGACCCAAAGGTAAGGACACTTATCAATATTTCTCTTGGGTTGTTTTTGAAAAAGAAGATGGCGTTGGGTTATTAATTGTTTAAAAAGCTAATTTGTGAAATCTTTTGCTTTTACTTATTGTATGAATAAGAATTACTGTTACCCAAGATTGCTTTTACTTTTATGAACATCAGCGTTGTTGTCCCCTCCTATTGTTTCTCTTGATACTTACGATGACATGTCACATTGTATACAGGTAGAAGTGCCTTCCTGTTTTGTTGGTCTGGTCCTGGAGAACTGCCAGCTTCCACATGCAAACCATGGACATGTCATTTTGGCTGATCCATCACCTATCTTGTTCTATCCCATAAGCAGTACCGAGGTCCGCTGTCTGGTTGATGTACCTGGTCAAAAAGTGCCTTCTATTTCAAATGGTGAAATGGCCAAATATTTGAAAAGCGTCGTTGCTCCCCAGGTAAAGAACTGGTGAAAAATTTGTCCTGAATGCCATACCATATCATCATAGTATTATACATACTTAAGTTGCATGATGCTTAATGAGATGTTCGCATGGTTTTTCTAGGTCCCTCCTGAGATAAAAGATGCATTCATTGCCGCAATTGATAAAGGTAACATCAGGACAATGCCAAACCGAAGCATGCCAGCTGCTCCTCATCCAACTCCTGGTGCTCTTCTCATGGGAGATGCATTCAATATGCGTCATCCCTTGACTGGTGGAGGAATGACTGTAGCATTGTCTGATATTGTTGTATTACGTGATCTTCTCAAACCTCTTCGTGATTTGAATGATGCACCTACACTTTGTAGATATCTGGAGTCCTTTTACACCTTGCGTAAGGTAAAAATCATTTTAAATCTTTCCTCCCATGAACAAAAGATTTGGAGCCGGTACCTGTTTTCTACTTTAAGAATCCCTAGTGAAGTAAGAGCTCTATGTTGACTAGTGAGTATCAAGGATCTGCAACCCAAAAACTGATGTGCCTTTGATGATTTCACTAGCTATCAATCCACATATAACGAAAGTAATGTGAAAAGGCTTGGTTCATTCTAGTGTTCTATGATTTCCAACTCTCTCAATTCCACTATAACTTACTGAAGAGATATTCTGCTGCAGCAATATGTGAGACATAACCTAGAATATTATTTACCTTTCGACTTATTTGGCTCACATATTTTATCTGCAGCCTGTGGCATCCACCATAAATACATTGGCTGGTGCCTTGTATAAGGTGTTTTGTGCTTCACCTGACCAAGCTAGGAAGGAAATGCGCGATGCATGCTTTGACTATTTGAGCCTCGGTGGAGTATTCTCAACAGGACCAGTATCTTTGCTTTCTGGCTTAAACCCTCGTCCATTAAGCCTTGTTTGTCATTTCTTTGCTGTGGCAATCTATGGTGTTGGCCGCTTGTTGCTGCCTTTCCCATCACCCAAACGTATGTGGATTGGAGCCCGGCTGATATCGGTAGGTGTCAATCTTGCTTTTTTTTGCATTTAATATTTGCAGTCTTCACATGTTTTTGTATGACCTAGTATTTTGACCATTTCGTGCGATTCAAATACAGGGTGCATCTGGAATCATTTTCCCGATCATCAAGGCAGAAGGAGTGAGGCAGATGTTCTTCCCTGCTACTGTTCCAGCATATTACAGGTCTCCTCCTGAAGTGAAATTGTAACTTGGAAAAACAGAATAAGGCTAATGCCAGTGTGCTACCTCCATCAGTATTCTGGTTGTGAGTGTCTTAAGAGTTTAGTTCAAGTGTTACATATTTTTTTATGCTAGTTTTTCTTTTCTTCCCTTCTCGTTTGTTCCCATGATTGATTGTATTATTAACTGGAAAAGTAAATATAACTTAATCATATATTGCTGTACTGTGATCCGTTTTTGTTTTTCCTTAGGATTGTATTCACTTAATTTTGCCAATTGTAAACCTCTTGTGCTCCAACAACAGCTACGCGAATCACTAGCAAGTAAAAAGGTGTGAGGTTTAACACAAATATACGTAGTCAATTTTACTTCGTCATTGCACTATTTCATGGATGAAAGATACAATTTGGAAGAGATTATATAGCGTGGTTCAGATTTCTCAGTGGATGTTCATTAGATCTACTACACATTCACGTCTTATATTTCTCTTCGAACATGGGCGTAGTTGTTTGGTAACACAGATTTGGAAATCTTTTTGATTCCACAGAAACCACTCAGATCCAGGGCTAATTGAATTATTGATTCATGAGATAAGCGGTTATCGACCACTTAATTTGGTAATTAGATCCAAAACTACGCCTTTTTAATCCTGTCAATCTATTACTCACAAGTTTGGCTAGATTCTTGCATACTAATGACATCAAAATACGAATGATTTACTATTACAATGAAATAAGCACGAAGAGAGTGAAATAGACATCTGGGATTTATTGCAATTTTGGAGTTGAAGAATAGTTGATTCACTATATTAATACCAAAGAAGTAAATCCCTTTTAATGAGTTGACAGAGTAAGCATGAAAACTGACCGAAGCTTAAGATCGAAATTATTGTAATAATGCTTATTGGCATTTACCTTGACAGAATAATTAGTAAAGAGAATGGCCTTCTAAGTTTCGACCTCACTATGAAGCTGTCAAGTTAGACCCTTAGTGTGATACTACAATGAACAAATATTTCCAACTCATCTGCATATAACATAATTCAGCACCTTACATGGGCAATTCAGCCTTGGCATCTCAGATATAATACAAGGCAAAATTCATAGGCTAATTACAGCCTCTATCTTTATTTGACATCTTGAGCTAACTTACAGTGTACTAAAGCCTGTGTGATATACAATGTCAATCAGTATCTTCAGCAATCTACATCACGAATTGAGCTCTTCAAGAAATTAGCACAGCAAGGGAGTGAGCAGAGGAATCCTGGGAAGTTGCAACCTCGGCTATAGAAGTATTACAACCTATGCTGTAGAAGTCTTCTTATGATCGTGACATTTAAAAAAAAAATATCTATTCTAGACCGTATCATGAAAACCTTGGTAAAAATCCAAGAATACCAACAGACAAGATGCACCAGTCAACAAGCAGAAGGCTAGAAGCAAATGGCTTTCATGGTCGCTCTCCATCACGAAGGACCACTTGGATTAGCTAGACTTACATACAACATCAAGTAGAGAATGACCCTCTTAAAATTTTACAAATATTTTGCATCGTTTGTCATGGTTCTTTTATCGGCTCATGCCATTCTTCCTTTCCGACTTTATAGCCTCATAGGACTTCATAACTTCCTTAAACTTTGCTTCAGCAGCCTCTGCAACCAAGTCACAACATCAGATTTCTATAGCCTGATGCAAGCAGTAGCACTTCTTTCCTTTTGTTTTTCTCAAATTTAAAATAGGTAGACAAGTATAAGAAATCAAATAGACTAGCCAATACAATCTACCTTTGTTTTGCTGATTTTGATCAGGGTGAAACTCCTTTGCCTTTGCCCTAAAGGCTGACTGCAAGACAAAAGAAAAAATGCATTTTAATAAACCTTTCCAATTCCAAGTAAATGCTTTTACACGTCTGCGTGACAGAGAGAGAAGCAAAGCTGATAGTCAAAACTGAAGGACCATCGAGATGCCAACTATATCAGATGCCCTTGCAACTAGCTCAAATTGGATAATCAAATTACATAATAGTAAGCAGAGATCAGTGAGTACGAGTATGTATAACTCCCTATTATCAGCTTCAAGTGATCGGCAATGCCAGCAGTTCCAGATGATACTTGGCATCAACTACTTGAATTTGACGAGGCAGTCAAAAACTGGACTTTGGAGTCAATTATTTGTTTCTTTTCTTATTTTTCCTACCACCTATTCTCACCATTTCAGATTGAATGTTTTTGTTTAATTTACAAGGATTTTCATAGAGTTGAAAATGTATAAATATATATATATAAATATATATATATATATATATATATTTTAACAGTTAACCTACATTATTAGACATCACTCTGAAAAAGGTTTAGAAGGGAAAGGTTCAAGTTGAAACAGAGGAGAAGCAAGCTAACATATGGAAGTCGTGCATATCTGTTCACCAATTCAAATAGACACACTCCAAATGGGATTACATCAAGCACAATTTACATAACCGGGAATTCTTGCTAGTTCTGCAATAGGTCTTAACTGAAGTTTGCCGGAAACTTCTCTAGTTTCTTTTGTTGTAGCAATAAATCAAGATTCCAAGTTACTCAAAAGGTTCAGTTCTATAAAGGCAAGTTGCATGATCATTTTAAAAAATTAAGTACTCCGCTAGATCAAAATATATTGGAAATATGTTCTCTTCCGTGAGTTCAGATTTTTTTCTTGTTTTTGTTATTTGTGTATCAGAGACAAGTGGCAGGCAAAAGAGGTAAAGCAGCTTAGCTTGCAGTCTCTATTAAAGAAACTAGGACCACAAAAAAATATAAGTTGTTGACTAATTAACAGAGCTACCAAATAGATTGGGGATGAAGTCATTAATTTTCATCTGGACAAGTATCATTTCATTTTATTCTTCACCTTTTTCAGGCAGTATTTTTAAACATTAAGAGGCTACGGATGATTTTGTCATCTTTGCCTAGTACCACAAATAGATCTACAAATGTTTTATTCAGAAAATTCAGAAATATAGGAGCAGCATACAGTAGAAAAAAATCTTAAGCCTGTAACTCACGCAGGGAAGTAGAAAAAAAAATTCATATACTCAGAAAATTAAGAAAAAGGAGATAAATTTTTTACGCCTGCATTCACAAAGGGGCAGCTGGGGTGGAAGCACACAAAAAGAACTTTGTCTCTGTTGTTTAGTTTTCTCGACCATCCTCCTCCACCAGGGTCCCTATCGGGGTAGGGGTAAGGCCTGCGTACACACTACCCTCCCCAGACCCCACGGAGTGGGACTTTACTGGGTCGTTGTTGTTGTTGTCCTCCTCCACCAAGGAAGAGGTGAGATCAGGGGGCCTTAAAAATGAAGGGAGGGAACAAAGATTTAAAAACAAACAAACAATGGAAGGTACACATGTAAAACAGCACTAATTTTCATTTTAATACTGGGAGAATTTTCAGACATTTCGGAGAATGATAAATACCTTTATCTCATCATCCGTGTAAGGCTTCGTCCTACACCTGTCAAAATGGAAGGATCAAACATGTCAAGTTTCATGTCAATGTCAATATCATCACCTAAGAACACATCCACATTAAACATCTGGCATCCAGATACAGACTTCTTGGCAACATGAAAAACTAAAACAGCTTTTATGTAATAGAAAAATTACAAATAGGGAAGAAAGGTAGGTATGTGTAATTTACAGAAGAAAAAACATCCTCTAGAGCAGCAAAACCTTCTATCCTAGACCACCTCATCGTAGATGTAAGTGTTTAAGAACATAATGATTGATGTCATGATCTACATATGGTGAAAGTAAAACTCAGTAAAAGATTAAATCACAAAAATGGCATCTAACTATCCAGAGTCTGTAGAACAGATCTTCACCTTCATCCAAGTAAGATACGTGGAGCACTTGGTAGGTTGCACCATTCACATCATAGTTATCTTTTTCTTATCAGATTGCAGTTAGAAAATAAGTCGAAGACGAAAATTTTAAGTATTTTAGTTTATGTCCTTGTTAGAACTAAATGGTGACTTCAAATTAAAGAGCCCACAGTGCTGTAAAGGTGCAGCCAGTACTCCTATGAGTCATATTCTTTTAGGGTTGAGGTGTATGCTTTGGTGCTCGAGTGGCCAACAAAAGTACGGAAACTACTTATTTTCTTCTTTTTTACCCCTTCTTCTTTATGTGTTGATCCAAAACACCCCTAGCAAAAGAACTGGCCAAAATGCACGCCTCAGGCACCAACGCATTTGCCTCAAACCAGAATAATGGAGGTAGTAATGGTACTAATCACCTTTCGTTCTAGGACTATCATCTTTGCAATGGAGTCTCTTTCTTTTCCTCTTTCGGGTTGTCTATTGGCGTAAAAAGATCGGGGGTAGATCATGGAGAAGCGTGGATATTTTCCCACAAGTATTAATAGATCAACTCAACATCCAAAAGCATATTACTACCTGTCAAGGCCCAAAACCGAGTAGTGATGTGATAACGCGTAGCTTGTATTGGCCCTAGGAGCTTCCCTGAAATTAGTTCCCCGGTCTCTGAATGATGTATCAGCCTTCCAATACCAGTCATTCCTTTGGGAGTGCTGATGATAAGCACCTGGCCCATTTTCTTGCCAGCTCTCGTAGCTCCTCTTATATTTGTTTCTCTCCCTATTGAAAACACTTTGCATACGGCGTATACGCTCCTATGAAAATCATAGAATGTTAGGTCAACAATAATCCCATGGTTAAAGGTAGAATACACATATAAATATCAGAATGAACTCACAAGTGGAAATTTATCCAAGATCTCATTACATTTTCTTTAGCTCAGATATGTTAGCCATAAAATCTAACATCTGTAGTTAATTGTGAGGGTCACATATTATGAGATTGGAGGCAGAAACAATCAAAAATTCAATCAGGCAAATAAAGCATAGGTAGCATTGAAGATTTGACTAGAAAGAAAGACGGATAAGGATGAGTGTTCACCATTATTAGATGTCCAACGGTTCTTACAACTTCAGTGTATCATCACAAGAAGAAATAACGGCAAATTTTATTTCCATTCCCCAACCTTCTAACTATAAGATTTTCCATAAATTTTTACTCACGGCTTATTTGAGATATTGGGTCACGATTATATCCAGAAGAAAATATGGTATTTGAATTTTTTAGACATGGCCAAATTCATATTCAGAGAGCCATACATGCATTCTGACGAATACACATAGGGGCCTGGATTCATATTCCAATCTCTTCATACGAGTTCACTTGCTTTTAGTTGAGAAAGACTTTGACAAAGTTCTCTCTTTCAATTCGATATAAGGAAATGAGAGTGACAAAAAATTGTTGAAGATGAAGATGTAGCTCACCACTCTCTCCATTTCTTCTTCATACTCTTCCCGCATCCTGCGATTATATCTTTTCCATGCTTCCTCCTGAAAACTTGTCCTAAAAGAACCCCCAGCTCGAGCTTTCCGTGCCGACTGCATCAACTTTTGCAATTCAAAGAAATAATTATTAGCTCAAGCCAAAAAAAAAATTCCTCCACCCTGCTCAGTATTTACCAAAACAACTGGAGAGTAACCCTTTTCTAAGCACAAATGTCAAAAAAACATGAATTTATCACGTACTCCAACAAGAAAGCAACTCTGTATGATATACTTCATCTTATACATGCAACAGTTAATTAGAATTGAACTCGCAAAGTAGAACATTGCAAGAAAACAGAAAAAGCAATAGCTATGACAACACCTCACTTCACAGAGTAAACATACTCCCTGAATCATAAGAAAATAGCACTACTAGTATTAAAAGAGGGAGACATCTTTTTCTTTTACAATTACTTTTTATTTTTAAAATTTATAATGGTGATTTCTAAAATTTCTGTAATTTGATAAATATGCAAATTTTATTTCAATTTCAAAATTTTAAAAATCAATATCCAAATTCACATCGAACGAGTTTCTTTTTATTGTTAAATTCACCTCGGATGAGCTTTCCTCGAATCCCTCATTCTTATTTGGATAGATGGAGAATATTTTCCAATTTCATCTTCTTTTTATAACCGATAAATTCTCACAGGCCAGTTGGCTTTCAAACTCGTTACGTGCGCCTCATCACAAATTGCTTAGCTCTTAACCACTGATCCAAAGACCTGAGAGCACCATTTATCAATCATCTTCTGAGTGGTGAATTATGTTTAGATGTGAGTAAAACTTAATATATGCCACATATCAATGGGTCAGAATCATTATTTTTACCCTGAGGAAATGCCCGTATGAAGTCAGTATTTTGACGGAAAAAGACGCTCAATTTCAAAGACAAAATGACCAACCTTCCATTTCCTTAGGTTTTTGGGGCCGACTCACATATGTTGAAGATCTAGAATAATAAGAATATGCACAAGAGAAATTATATAGAAGAATGATTGATGCATTTTTCCGTCAGTATTTTGACGAAAAACGACGCTCAATTTCAAAGACAAAACGACCAACCTTCCATTTTCCTTAGGTTTTTGGGACCGACTCACATATGTTGAAGATCTAGAATAATAAGAAAATGCACAAGAGCAATTATATAGAAGAATGATTGATGCATATTAAACATATCAAGATCACATTTTCCTACCTTTGATATTTATCTCTATCATTTATTTTAGATTGTGAAGATATGGCCCTTGTGCCTAACTCAACCCCAAAAGTTAGTTCATAAGGGAAGGATTGCCCAAGACCATATAAGGAGATCACAACCCATTCCCTCAACCAATGTGAGACTAATACCCCCGGAACCCAGGCATACCAACTAAAGCATGGCCAATATTACAAGGGGGACCAAACAGGAATGGATCTAACACTGGTACAATGTGAAGATATGGTCCTTGGGCCTAATTCAACCCCAAAATCCAGCTCGGGGGGGGGGGGGG